GTGCAGAAGAATATGGCCGCAGGGAGCTTTGCAGCGGAGGAGGGGAGCAATGTGCAGCTCTCAGAAGGTAGGGCAGGCCACACAACCCAACAGCTGGCCACCACAAGCACCAATTGACCAGAGTTGTGCGTGTGAGGCAGTGAAGGAATGAGTGTGTTTGGGATAAAGATTCAACCCCTTTCCCCGCCCATGAGACTGACATTGAATTAAAACCAGCAACCTGTTAAGTCCCACTGGTGCACGGCACCTTTTTAGACCCTAGAGCTTGGATATCTATAAATCCGAGCTCTTTGCCCACTGAGAGCTTACAGTCTTACCATGTTTGCAGCTGAATCAGAAATAAACTCCTGGCTGGGCGTGGCGGCTCACATCTGTAATCCCAACACTTTGGGAGGCCGAGGCGGGCGGATCACCTGAGGTCAGGAGTTTCAGACCCGCCTGGCCAACACAGTGAAACCCTATCTCTACTAAAAATACAAAAATTAGCCGTGTGTGGTGGTGACACCTGTAATCCCAGCTACTCGGGAGGCTGAGGCAGGAGAATAGCTTGAACCCAGGAGGTGGAGGCTGCAGTGAGCCAAGATCACACCACTGTACTCTAGCATGGGCAACAAGAGTAAAACTGCGTCTCAAAAACAAACAAAAAAAAAAACAAAAAAAAAAAGGAAGAAACTCCCTTTATTTCCCAAAGGACACCAACTACAGGAAAGCCAACCAGGCAGCCTTGTCAAGTGGCTGGGCCAGGCAAGCCCATCTTGGGGCTGACAAGTTGGGTGGGGAGTTGAGAAGTTGTTCACCAAGTCCTAATCACTAAACTCCACCTTGTTGAAAGAGACCAGCTAAATATAATGTCTGCTCACAAGTGGTCCAAACTTGAGGTTAAAATTGTCTGGACTCGGGCAGGATATATGTATGGATTTTAAGTGACAGGATCATGGGTCACCTCCTCTAAACCTGTCATTTCCCAGACAAAGACACTGAGGCCCACAGAAGTGACTGCCTTGCCTTGGGCTGTACATTGGCAAAGTTGCTCCCACCTGTGTGCCCAGGGAAGGAGGACGGCTGGCTGCAGGAGGGGCATCGTTCTGCAGCTGCCCAAATGCAGCCATGATGCATTTGTTTTAAACTAGCTTTATTTTCAGGGGGTGATGTTTATCTGACCTTATCCCCAAATTCTTGGGCACCTCACAGTAGACCCCATGTGTACATCCCCATCCCTCCCAGGCCACTGCTGACTTTGTATCTTGTGACTCTTCAAAGGACTGGTGAGAATTGCATTTTACAGAAAACACGCCTGAAATGGGAGGGGGTAGACAGAACTTAAAAAAATAAAAGGGCCAGGCACAGTGGCTCACACCTGTAATCCTAGCATTTTGGGAGGTTCAGAAGCAAGAGGACGGCTTGAGCTCAGGAGTTTGCAGCCAGCCTGAGAAATATAGCGAGACCCTGTCTCAATCAATCAATCAAAAATGATCGATAGATAGCAATATGGTCTAAATGAGTCCAGGAGTGGAGTGTCCTTGAACCTGGGGAGACCACCATCCACTGCATTTGCATTATTGGTAATATGGCTGGAGAGGGCCTTTTGCCTAAAGGCTTGGAGTATGTTGGGGCACCCAGAGAAGGAGGAAAGAAAAACATTTTAATAAGAACAAGCAGGGGTGATGGAAAGTAATACACCAAGGCCATTCTCTAGCATCTTAAGGTTCTGCCCAGCCAGCTGGGAGGCCACTGGGCACTGGCTGCTGGAGGGAAATGAAGATTCTGCTCCCCTGCCCCAGCCTTCACTGTTGCTTTCCTCACACGAACCCCCGACTCTATCCTTCCTGGTTGGCTGTTTAAGTCCTTTCCTGATACCCTAGGCTCTGTGGCTTTTCTGAGCACAGAACAGCATCCTTAGATGGTACAGCACTGAGCACCCACCTTAGATCCTAGGGTTCAGTCCCACTGTCCAAAGCCCCTCACCACTACTGAGCAGCCACACTAAGGGTGACCAGGTATGTTAGCTTCCCTTTTGAGACAACAGGAACCAAAGTGCCCAGGGCAGAGAACATCCTGTTGCCAAAAACAGTGGTTCTCTCTCAACCAGGGATAATTTTTGTCTTCCAGGGGACATTTGGCAATGTCTGGAGACATTTTGGGTTGTCACAGCTGGAAGGATGTACTCATATCCAGTGAGTGGAGGCCAGGAATGCTGCTAAGCACCCTGCAATGCACAGCAGCCCCCATGACAAAGAACTGTCCAGACCAAAATGTCAATAGTGCCAAGGTTGAGAAATTCCGGCCAAAAGAAATGGAATCAAAAAAGAAAATTGTTTGCAACTTCATAGAGATACCCTAAATGAATAAAACCACATATGGTGTGATTTCTGTCCCTATTCCTATGCTGAAGAACGGGAAACTTGTACAACTTTCCCTTTTTGAAGTAAAGAGACACCACCCCTCTCCTTTTTTCTTTTTTTTTTTTTTTAAACACAGCAACAGAAGGGCCCCAAGTTAAAACAAGCTCTCTGGCCTAAGGACTCCACCTGGTGGTCCTCTCTGGAATTAAATGAAGTTTAGGTTTTATTTTGTTTAACTTTTTTCATTATTTAGTTATTTTGTTTAACATTTTTAGTTATTATGTTTTTTAGTCATTTTGTTTAACTTTTAAGTTACTTTGTTTAATTTTTTAGTTATTTTAACTTCTTTAAATTATTTTGTTTAATTTTTTTAGTTATTTTAACTTTTTAAAGGTATTTTAATTCTTTAGTTATTTTGTTTATTTTTTTTGTTGTTTTTTTAGTTAAACAAAAGTTGCAGTGACCGGGCAGGTGCGATGGCTCACGCCTGCAATCCCAGCACTTTGGAAGGCTGAGGCGGGGACGGGGGGCAGGAGAAATCACTTATTGAGGTCAGAAGTTTGAGACCAGCCTGGCCAATATGACAAAACCCCGTCTCTACTAAAAATATAAAAATTAGCCAGGCATGGTGGCGAGTGCCTGTAATCCCAGCTACTTGACAGGTTGAGGCATGAGAATCACTTGAACCTAGGAGGCAGGGATTGCAGTGAGCTAAGATTACACCACTGTACTCCAGCTTGGGCAACACAGTAAGACTCCATCTCAAAAAACAAAAATGTTCCAAGTACAATATAAAGAAATTCTCTCCCAATTTGAGAGTAAGTTGCTGATATTATACCCTATGACCTCCCCACCCAATGCTTTAGTGGGTATTTCCTAGAATCAATGACATTCTCCTGCACAGCCATCAGAATCAGGAAATTAATATTGATATGTTATTACCATCTAAACCTCTGACTGAATTCTAGTTCTGCCAGTTGTCCCAATAAAGTTCTTAGCAAAACGATCTGGTTTAGAATAACACTTTTCACTTAGTCATCATGTCTCTTTAGTGTTCTTCCATCTGGAACAGTTCCTCAGTCTTTCCTTGCCTCGATCTGGAACCTTTTAAAGACTATAGGCCAGTTATTTGTAGGTTGTCCTTCAGTGCGCGCTTGTCTGAGGTTTCCTCACGTTTTGAGTCAAGTCATGCATCTTTGACAGGAATCTCACAGTCGCATTCTGTGTTCTCACTGCATTCTAGCAGGGAGTACATGATCTGTTCCATTATTGGTGATGTTAACGATCATTGGTTAGAGTTTCTTGGCTATGAAGTGATGCCTGCCAAAGCATATTTACTACCACTACTGTTCAACATTCTCCTAAAGATCCCAGCCAGTGTAACAAGGAAAAAAATAACCAGTATAATAATTGGAAAGGACGAAATAAAACTATCATTCTTCTTTTTTTTTTTTTTTTTTTTTTTTTTTTTAAGACCGAGTCTCACTCTGTTGCCCAGAGCTGGAGTGCAGTGGCATGATCTCCGCTCACTGCAACCTCCACCTCCCTGGTTCAAGTGATTTTCATGCCTCAGCCTCCCAAGTAGCTGGGATTACAGGTACGTGCCACCACACCTAGCTAATTTTTGTATTTTTAGTAGAGGCAGCGTTTCACCATGTTGGCCAGGCTGGTCTCGAACTCCTGACCTCAGGTGATCCACCCACCTCAGCCTCCCAAAGTGCTGGGATTACAGGCATGAGCCACCACACCCGGCCACCTATCATTATTCTCAAATAACATGGTTATGTATGTAGAAAATCCATAAGAATGGTTACAGATAAAACTATTATGATTAATAAGTAAATTTCACAAGATCGCTGGATGTAACACCAATATACAAACATCTACTGTATTTAAATATGTTGAAACTAATGATTAGAAAATGGAGTTTTTAAACAAAAGATACTATTTACAGTAGCATCAAAAACTATCAAACATCTAGACAATCTATCAAATATCTACACAATCTAGTAAAGGATATACAAGGCCTAGATACAAAATCTGTAAGAGGCTACTGAAATTAAAGAGTACCTCAATAAATATAGGGTTGTAACATGCCCATTGATTGGAATACTTAATATTGTAAAGATATTCTCTCCAAATTCATCTACAGATCCAACACAATACAAGTCAAATCATGGGTGCCTTTTCAGATAGAAGACATATCTATACTTTATGTTCACATGCAAAGGATTAGAATAACCAGATAACTACTAGATAATCTGAGAAAAAAAATGGGAGCTTTTTTTGAGGGACAAATACTAAGTCTTTTTCTAAAGCTTGTATTCTGCAAGGATGGCTGACTAAACCCATGGAACAGAAGAGCTAGTTCAGAAGCAGGCCCTCACATATTTGGACACTTGATTTTTGAAGAGTTGCTCTGCAGAGCAGTGGGGGAAAAGATGGTCTTTTCAATAAATGGTGCTGGGTCAACCAAGTATCCATATGGGGAAAAATATATCTTCTTCCCTATATTAGACTATACACAAAAATCTATGCCAGAGAGACTGCAGATCTAAATGCAAAAGGTGGAAGAATAAAGCTTTTAGAAGAAAATATTCATAATTTTGGAGTAGGCAAAAGTTTCTCAAAGCATACTCGAAAACCATTAACTAGGGAAAGATTCATAAATCAGACTGTATTAAAATGAAGAACTTCTGTTCATCAAAAGATACCATTAAGAGAGTGAAAACACAAGCCACAGGGAGAAAACATTCACTACAGACATAGCTCACAAGGATTCCTATTGAAACAATATAAAGAGCTCCTACAAATCATTTAAAGAAAAAAACCCAGTAGAAAAATGGGCAAAACACCTAAGCAGACACTTCATTAACGAGGTTATCCAAATGAACATAAATATATTTTTTAAAGTTCTCAACTATGTTAGTAATTAGGGAAATACAGTTAAAACCACAATTTCATACCATTACCTATGTACCAGAATGGCTAAGATTAAAAAGACAATACTAAACGTTAGCAAGGAGTTTAAGTTGGTACAACAACTTTGGAAAACTATATCCTACTTAAGCTGAACATAAGTAAACCCTATGACCCAGTAATTCCATCCCTGGGTATATATCAGTATATGCATTCACATAAAGATATATTATTGTGTTTGTAGGTACACTATTTATAATATAAAAGCTCCAGAGTGAAAATTACCCAAATGTTCAACAGCAGAATGGATAAGTAAATTGTGAAACATCCACAATTAAATACTATATTACAGTGAGAATAAATGAACTACATCTACACACAAACATAATGTTAAGCAAAAAATATGTAAGGTACCTCATTTGCATAAATACAAAACTAGGCAAAGCAAATCTATACAAGATGTCAGGATAATGGTTACCCTTGGGGCAAGGGTGGTGACTAGATGAAGACAGGAGGGGGGCTTCTGGAATGTGGCAATGTCCTGTTCTTATGAGGATGCTAGTTGCTTGGGTGTGTTCAGTTTTCACTCTTCTTTATGTATATCATACTTCAATAAAAGTTCAAGGAGAATCATCTCCAGGTGGATTGTAGAACTAAATGTGAAAGGCAAAACAATTGTCTAGTAGATCACATAGGAAAATATGATGGGGGTAAGGGAAGATTTCTTAAGGTACATGCACATGCACACACACCCAATCCACTAACCTAAAGTAAATAATTGAACTACATAAAAATTGGAAACTTCTCAGTCAGGCATGGTGGCTCATGCCTGTAATCCCAGCACTGTGGGAGTCTGAGGCAAGTAGGTCACTTGAGCTTAGGAGTTGGAGACCAGCCTGGGCCACATGTCAAAACCTCGTCTCTACAAAAAATATAAAAGTTAGACAGGCCTCTTGGCCTGTGCATATAGCCCCGGCTATTTGGGAGGCTGAGGGGGAGGATCTCTTGAGCCTGAGAGGTCATGGCTGTAGTGAGTCCTGATGGCACCACTGCACTCTGGCCTAGGTGACAAAGCGAGACCCTGTCTTAAAAAAAAAAAAAAAAAAAAATTCTAATCAAACAACACCATTAAGAGTGAAAAGGCAAGCCACAGCATGTGTTCATATCCCTAATATATAAAGAAATTCCAAGAATCAATAAGAAAAAAGGCAGACAACTCCATAAGGAAAAAAATGAGCCAAGGACTCGAAAGAACACTTCACAAAGGAAGCTATCAGAATGGGCACCATACACATGAGAAAGTTCTCAGCTTCATTAGTTATTAGAGAAAAGCAAAGCAGTAGTGCAATACCACCACACACCCATCAGAATAGCTAAAGTTATAGACTTAAAATGCAAACAAGGCTGAAGCTGGAAGCCATGAAAACCCTTACACACCGCTGGAGTGTGTATATTATTTCAGCCTCTTAGTATAACTGTTGGGCATTACTTATTGATGATAGATATCATACCCTATGTCCCAGCAATTCCACTCCAGGAAAAACTCATGCAAATGTGCATCAGATCCACGTACCAGAAAATTCATAGCAGCATTACTCAGAATAGCCCTAAACAGAAAACAACTTTGATGTCCATCAACAGCAGAATAAGTAATTTATGGTATAATATATACAATGGAACTCTCTTCAGCAGCGAAAGCAAACAAACCATCTCTGTAGGCAACCTGGATGGACTCCAGACATAATATAGACTCAAAGAAACTAGGCCAAAAAAAGCATACTGCATGATTCTATTTATATCAAAAGCAAGCAAAACGAATCTGTAGTGTTGAGTTCGCGGTTGCCTTTGGGAAAGAGGAAGGCTTTCAGAATAGTGGTTTTTTGGATCTCGGTGTCGGCTAAGCAGTTGTGTTCACTCTGGTCATTAATCACGCTGTAAATTCATCATATGCACACTTTTCTGTATATCATACTTCATATGAATATTCAGAAGTCTAAAGGCCACAAGCTTAACCGCAAACCCTACCATGCCCTAGGCCAGGTTGGACTTGCGGAGCTGTGGGGTTGTCCCGGCGACCTGCCCCAGGCGGGCCACCTAGCCCGGGATCTCACACTGTAACCCGGAGCCAAGGCCCAGGCCCAGGCCCAGGACGGGTACCTGAACTCCTGGACCCTTCACTGAACCCCACGGGTCCCCGCGCCGGCTGGTGGAGGGAGAGCAGTCACAGCTTCCCGTCCCACCTCAAGGTGCGCTAATGCATGAAAAAGTTCCCCTCGGATGTTTCCACATTCGCCTTAACTTTTAAACACCAACGTCTGGAATCATAGGTTCTCCAGACTCCAAACACACCCCAGGAAAGAACCCAGAATCAGACACAGCCCCTGCGCGCCCGGCAAGACTTCCGGCAAGAACGACCCCAAAGGCGTGGCTCTTCGATTGCTTCGGCCTGGCGGGCGAGCTGCGCGCGCACTCGGGGGCTGCGATTGGTGCTGCCTGGCGGTGGGGCGCGGGGCACGCTGGGACGTCTCGCTGGCGGGAGGCCACGGGCTTTCCACGGCGCGAGGAGACGGGAGGCAGCAGGATGGTCAAGCTGACGGCGGAGCTGATCGAGCAGGCGGCGCAGTACACCAACGCGGTGCGCGACCGGGAGCTGGACCTCCGAGGTGAGTCCGAGGGCGTGGGCGGCCAGCCCCCGGGCGGCACCGCGTCGCCTTATTATCCGCGCTCTGCCGCGTGCACCGAAGGCCGGAGCTTGGCCCGCGGGCCGGTTGTCTGGGCTCCGACCGGGCTGCGCAGGGAACGCGGGGCCTGATTCTTGCCGTTGTTGCCAAATGAGCATCCCGTTAGGCTCTTGGAGCCTTCTCTTACCGTCGTGCCTCTTGACAGGCACGAGTGACTTCATTACTTCCTGGTGCATACTCGTGGGGCTCTATTAGGCCTTGCTTGGCTGTTTCGCAGTTGGCTCTGTTTGAGGGCCCGGAAGAGCGGCTCGTTAATGGTTGTAACGCTAGTGCAGGGCGAGTGATTGGTTCTTAATACTTGCCGCCAGACGATATTTTGAGCGTAGATGGGATATGTGTTCGTTGTTCCTAATGTGAGGGAGGAAACCAAGTCCCCGAACAACAGCGATTGTTTCCCCCAGTATTTTCTACTTAGTACCTTTGTCTGGCGTTTCCCCTTTATGAAGACGTTTTAAAAATTGAACTGTGTGACCCAGGTTTGCACCGCCCTGTGCTGTGTGTAAGTTGTGGAAGCGCTGGCAATTATTCAGATTCCTGTACTATTTCAACCTTAGCAAGACTTGGTAAGATATTGGGAGGGCAGCTAGCTAGTTGGCATTTCAGGAGACGACTTTAAAAAGGATGTGAAGAGCAACTTCTCTGGGGATAAGACCATGCAGCCGTAGCCTGAGATTTGTTCCCACGGGGACCTATGGCTTTGGAGCAGCATCGCTGCGGGATCTGCTTAGATTTCTTGCTGACCTTTGGGAAATCCCGTTGTGTTGTGTTGTGTGTTGTGTTCTGCTTAGATTTCTTGCTGACCTTTGGGAAATCCCGTTGTGTTGTGTTGTGTTGTGTTGTGTTGTGTTGTGTTTTGATGTGATGGAGTCTCGCTCTTTCACCCCAGCTGGCGTGCAGTGGTGTGGTCTCGCCTCACTGCAACCTCCACCTCCCCGGTTCAAGTGATTCCTGTGCCTCAAGCCTCCCGAGTTGTTGGGATTACAGGCGTGAGCCACCACGCCTGGCTGATTTTTGTATTTTTAGTAGAGACGGGGTTTCGCCATGTTAGTCAGGCTAGTCTCGAATTCCTGACCTCAGGTGATCCGGCTCCGCCGGCCTCCCAGAGTGCTGGGATTAAGACGTGAACCACTGCGCTCGGCCCCCAGTATTTTTATTTTGTTGAAATTAAGTTTGTTAGAGAAATGTTCAGTTCAAGAGCAACTCACCACTTTTTTTTTTTTTTTTTTTTTTTTTTTTTTTTTTTGAGACGGAGTTTCGCTGTTGTTGCCCAGGCTAGAGTGCAATGGCGCGATGTCAGCTCACTGCAACCTCTGCCTCCCGGGTTCAAGCGATTCTCCTGCCTCAACCTCCCGAGTAGCCGGGATTACAGGCCTGCGCCATCACGCCCGGCTAATTTTGTATTTTTAGTAAAGACAGGGTTTCTCCATGTTGGTCAGGGTGGTCTCGAACTCCCGACCTCAGGTGATCCGTCCGCCGCGGTCTCCCAAAGTGCTGGGATTACAGGCTTGAGCCATTGCGCCCGGCCCAACTCACCACTTTTGATGATCTCTGCCATTTCTCTTTATGGAGTACGTGCAATATTGAGAATACGTATTTTGATGCAATACGTGTAGTATAGCTCTGAATTGTGCCCTTTAACTTTGGGTGAATTCTTTTTTAGTAGACCTTGCTTCTTCAGAATATTTCTTTTCTTATAGTGCCTAACACAGTAATTATGCTCAAATTGGACAAATTAACATTTGAGTGTTCACAGGTTTATTACTCTATGTAAACCATTGAGTTCTTCAACTCTAAATTGTAGCTGGGGGAGGGGAGGGAGAACTGTCATATCTTGAGGCTGTTCTGATGGGTTCTAAGAATCTGGCCCGTGGAGATGCAAGAGTGGAGAACTGTTATCCACAATGTTTGAACGCTGTTTGGGCACTGAGACTAAGCAGCTCAAAGTGTAAATTCCTGTTGTGCGGATTCCGCTTAACTAGCCCAAATGACTTAGAACAGTGTGAGGCACCTTGTAAATGTTCTTATAAATGTTAGCTACCTATATCACCCATTATTATTGTTCTTGTCCTTGTTGTCATTAGATTGTAAGCTTCATGGCACTGGGTACTTGAGACTCGTTCAGCATTTTCTCTCTAGTATCTTGTACAGTGGCAAGGCATGTATGACATGGCATAGGTGCTAGGTAATGCTTCCTGAATAAATCAAAGCCTGGAATCAGATACTATGAAATACTGCTAATGTTTTAAGGGGCTGTTTAGTTATATTAATACCTCTTGTGTGTTTTTTTTCCTCCATTTTACAGGGTATAAAATTCCCGTCATTGAAAATCTAGGTGCTACATTAGACCAGTTTGATGCTATTGATTTTTCTGACAATGAGATCAGGAAACTGGATGGTTTTCCTTTGTTGAGAAGACTGAAAACATTGTTAGTGAACAACAACAGAATATGGTAAGTGCCTATAGGGGAAAGTAATTTTTTCCCCCTAGGGTAAATGTTGCAGTGTTCCCTGAAGAAGCTGTAGCACGTACTGCAGGTTAAACCTACATGGTTTTTTTAATTTAATTTTTATATTTTTAAAAAATATTTTTTCCATAATGGAAGCCACGTTCAATACATGTTTTTTCTTAAAATGAGAAATGAACTTCACTTTTCCTATAGAGATCCAGAGATTAACCTGGCTTTAGTCTAGTCTTGTGTCTGTTCAGAAATCATGTATTTTTATTTTCATGGTAAGTTTCTAATTAAGAGCATGTTGCTTTGTATACAGTTTGACTTCTAGAACAATTATCAAAGGGGTCATAGTAAAAGCATATATAAAGGTAACAATTATACTTTTGACTGAGAGTCTCTATTTTTTTTTTAACTGCAACTGATTTCTAGACTGTTACTTATTGAAATTGAGATCTTTTTTGACCCTGTCTTCATCAGCTCTGTGTAAACTTTATTGGAAAAAAAGCACTTGGTGTGTAGATAATGTCTTTAAAGGTACTGGATAGTGAGTGGGATTTCCTTCAGATAGAAATATATCTCATAGGTTAACCATTCCCCTATAGTATAGTTGTTGTGTCTTGTACCTGAGCTGTGAATGCAGAATTATTTGTATTTCTGCACTGCCTGCACAAAAAAATCATGAAGTGAGTTAAGTAGTTTGTGCCACCCAGAGGTTGCACCTTTTCTCAGGTTCCACTAGACAGTGTGACAGTAGAATTAGCCCCAGGCAGTGTCCCATAGGCAGGGGTTCTAAAATCCCACTTCTGTCGCTGATGCTGTGGCTTCAGAAAAGGGTTCTTTTTGCTTTGTTTCCTCTTTGTCAGGGTGTTGGAAGAAGGATCTGTAAGTGTCTCTCTGAGATCCTCTGAGCAAGGAGGTAATTAAAATTGTGAGCTTATTTAATTTTCACTTTTACTAAGACTCTCTTTTTATTTTAGCCGTATAGGTGAGGGACTTGATCAGGCTCTGCCCTGTCTTACCGAACTCATTCTCACCAATAATAGTCTCGTGGAACTGGTAAGTTGCACAGAAGGAAAATGTATTTGTTGGGTGGGATTAAAGGTACTATGTGCTTCCTGCAGAAAATTTACAAAATCTAGAAAATCTCATAGAAAATGATCTCAGTATCCGCTTGTCTTTTTCTTAATTCAGGATCTGGGCCTTTTGGGTTCTGCAGCTGTATGTTGCAAATATTTTCCTACTCTTACTTGCACTTTGACTTAGGATGTCCTGTTAGAGAAGTTCCTAATTTAGGTGCAGTCCAATGTATCAATCTTTTTCTTTATTGTAGCCCTTTTGATGTTTAAGCTTCCCCTATTCCAGAGTTGTAAACTGCTATGTTGTTTTCTAGAATTGCAGTGTCCAATACAGTACCAGTAACTACAGGTGGCTACTTATAAATAAGATGTGGTAGAACTATAAAATACACACTGGATTTCAAAGACTTAAGTGCAAAAAAAAAAAAAGTAAACTATCTCAGTAATTTTATATCGATGTTGAAATGGTAATGTTTTGGTAATAGGTTAAATGGCATATTATTAAAATTAGTTTCACCTATTTATTTTAACATGGCTACTAGAAAATTTTAGATTACATATCTGATGTGCATTAAATCTTGTTGAACAGTTCTAGTATAAAAACCTGCCGGGCGCGGTGGCTCAAGCCTGTAATCCCAGCACTTTGGGAGGCCGAGGCGGGCGGATCACGAGGTCAGGAGATCGAGACCATCCTGGCTAACACGGTGAAACCCCGTCTCTACTAAAAAAAAAAAAAATACAAAAAACTAGCCGGGTGAGGTGGCGGGCGCCTGTAGTCCCAGCTATTCGGGAGGCTGAGGCAGGAGAATGGCGGGAACCCGGGAGGCGGAGCTTGCAGTGAGCTGAGATCCGGCCACTGCACTCCAGCCTGGGCGACAGACCAAGACTCTGTCTTTAAAAAAAAAAAAAAAAAAAAAAAAAAAAACCTTGTTTTACTCTTCACATTAGAATTGTTTCTATGCTTTTTAAATTTCTGCTCTGTGTATCCAATTTTTAACATAATTGAAATACTGTATATTGTTTTGTAACCTAAATTATTCACTTAAACACTGGATGCTTAAATTTATATTGTAGGCCAGGTGCCATAGCTCATGCCTGTAATCCAAGCACTTTGGGAGGCCAAGGTGGGAGGATCATTTGAGCCCAGGAGTTCTAGACCAGCCTGGGCAACATAGTGAGACCTCGTCTCTCT